ACACTATGTGGCATTATAAAAGGAAGAGAAAGTTGTATCCCTCGTTGTCTTAAGTGGGAGGTGTATACAAAAATACAGACTCATTATCTAAATGAGGCAATCTTTAAAAATCCCGAGGTAAGTTTCATATGTTCGTAAAATTAATAGAGTTGTTTTTATGAATACGAATTCTGTGGATAGTCATAATATTCCTTTTTTTCACAGATTGAGATGATTACAATCATTCCAACGGATGAGGAGATTCAGAATCTAAAGCTAGAGTCATGGGACAGTGGTCAAAGTGCAGATGTCATGGGACCCTCAGATCAACAGCCATCTGCAGCAAGAAAGTTTTCATTTAAAAACAAAAAGCAGAAGAAAGGAGTGGCACCTAAAAAAATGAAAAAAAACAGATTGATGAAGATGAGGAAATAGGTCGAATTGAAGGGTTCCATTGGAGGGAGAAAGAGCCTCCATATAGATGAAAAAGAAAAGTATGCAGCCATTGAGAATGAAATAAGGGAAGTTAAGAGGTTGCAAGTGGAACATGGTCAGATGCTTCAGAAGATTCTTGATAGGTTGGATAGACATGTGGATGATGGAACACGAGCTGGTTTTGAGAAGTGTGATGGTAATGTGGAGGGCACACAAATTGGGTTATCAGAAGGCATGGAAGAATCCGGAGATAAGAGTGAAAAGGGAAATGAAGCGAAGTTAGAATCAAACATGGAAAAAAGGAGAACAAATGGAGAAGAGAATGACAACAATATTGAACTTAATAAGAGTGAAAATGAAGTTGTTGAAAAAGAGAGCTTGTGTGTGGCTGGGTATAAATTTGAATTGGCTGAGACACAGTATGATGAAGATGTACTGGCTGAGTTGGATGTTATAGAGAGAAATACTGTGGAATCCAAACAGAATGAGAAAGAGGTATATGTACTTTAACTTTACATTATTTTTAAGAAATTTGATAACATCTTAATTAGTAATTGTCAAAATGTACATGTGCAGGGTGTTGGAAAAAAAGAAGATGTTGTGATGGCAGATGAAGTTGGGGTCAGTCATGTGGGTGGTGTGATACCTGTTGAAATGGCAGATGCCACTGAACCCCAAATGGTCAACGTCGACACTGAAAATGCATTAAAAAAAGGACTTATGGTGAGTAACTGATTTGTACAATGTTTTATGAGCTATTTTAGCACATGTGTAGTAGACTTCTTTAACCAACACAGTAAATATTATCTCTTGTGTGCAGATCTGTAGACCACGAAGAACAAAAAAGGGGCCCAATAGGCTAACACTCTCTGGAGGAAAGCATGAAAAAAAGAAACAGAAAATGGAGGAACCTATGTTGAGGTCAGATGAAGCGACATTGAGCCAGATGGAGGTCATTATTGGACCGTTTGCACTGGAGCCAAAAGAAATGCCTCAACCGGATGACATTTATAGGTTGAAAACATATTTGGAGAAAGGAATGTTGAAGCGGATGTCAAAATCAGGAGGGAGAAGAATGTACACCAAGGAAGAGGACAACTTGGAGAATAATCCTCTCATTCTGGACATGCACACTGTGAATAACAAGACATGGCTGTATGATTTGTTTATGGATCAAGAGTGGTTGGGAACATTGGTAAGAAATATATAACATTTTTATGATGATTTTGATTTGCAAGGTGTTGATAAAACTAACTTCATGCATGTTTTCATTATTTGTTAAAGCACATTGAGGTTGGAATGTTCTATTTGGAAGTGAAAAGGTTCCACTACAAGCTTAGCCAAAAGTATGGAACAACAACACCGTTTTTCATGGATGCCCTAAAGAAACACCAGGACAAAGTTGGTGCAAAAGTGAAAACTGCAAGCGACGTTGGCAGCGTTAACAACCTAACAAGTGAGATATTGGGTAAAGTAAGAAGGTGTGCAATTAAGTGGGCAGATGCAGATTTTGTGTACATACCCTTGAATACTGGCAAGCATTGGATTTTGCTAGTATTAGAGATTGAAGGGAAGACAATATGGGTGTATAATTCAATGAGAGGGAAGTCAACAGGACTTAAAGACATTGCAGCTTACATCCCGTGCATCAAACACCTACTTCCTAAGCTCCTGGATGCATGTGGTGTCTATAAACAACACCCTAGTGGACCAATGGGAAATCAGGAAATCCGCATAAATGCAGTTCTAAATTGTCCACAACAAACAGAAACAGATCAGTAAGTTTTAACTACAAGTGAAACATTAACAAGCATGCACATGTAAGTCTTTATAAAATGTAAATACATTGATTACTATTTGTTCTCAAACTTGTGTAGGGGAAACTGTGGCATGTTTGTGTTGAAGATTGCAGAATATCTAATGATGGACAGAAAAATCAACCAGGTGTGCACGGAAGACATGGCTGCTTATAGAGTGAAGATGGCCACAGAGTTGTACAAGTATGCTGAGTCCAAAAAAGCAGTTTGAATATCAGTGGTGAAAAACAAAACTAGTTTATGATCTGCCATTGGAATGTTTTGTGGTAATGTTTAGGTTTATGCTATGAAACTCGGGGTCTTGAATTATGTTTTTTGTATATTAAAAGACAAATATGTTACATGACAAAGATTGTCATGTGGCCATGAATGTTGTGTTTCTATGGTTGACGCTATTAAGTGCTTTTTTTAACAAGTGTTGTTGCATTATTGCTGACATAACGTGGCCATTTGCAATATGAAGTTTTAGTTTTCTCATTTACACAGCAATTTATAAGTCTCTGAAGTTGGTCATGTATATGCCAATGTGTGGCACTGTACACAGCGTTGAATGACAATGCTAGTTCAAGTGAAACGAAATTATGCAATCAAAGTATCAACATGGAAAGACATTTTAAAAGTGCATTGCATCTTAGTTGAAGCAATTTAACACAATTAAACCATACTAAAAAAAGTCATGTAATGAAACATAAAGTGATATCAAATATTTTTTGGATCTTCCACGGATGGAATATGATTTCTACATGACTTCTTGTTATGGCCGTATAATTTGCAGCGCGAACACTTCTGTTTTCCACGACGCTGTCCCTTATAGCCCTCTCCAATAGACAGGTAGCGCCTCTTCTTAGGCCTTCCTGGAGGACGTTTGTCACAAGGTGGAGGTTTGCAAATTATTGACAAAGTCTGTTGAGGAACATCCCATGAAGACACATCACCAATTGGGTGGATTATACCAGCATATGTACATACTAACGCCTCAATTTTGTAGAAAGGAGAGATAAAATCATAACAAGATAAGCCGGGACGTCTCCCAATAGCAGCCACAGCATGAAC